ATGGTCCAGAGAAAAGGTCACTGTGCAGAGAGAGACCAAATACAAACCCTGACTCAGGCAGCTCTTGGGCTGCAGAAGGGCCCTGGGGAAGGAGCCCTGATACAGACAAGCTCCTGCTGTAATGCTCTTTTCGCTTGATTCCCAGAAAAGTTAAGCTTGTTTCTCGCCAGCCCAGGGCTGTGGATACGCTATACAGTCCTAAAGACGAATTTCAGTGTCCTCTAGCTAAAGTCATTCTAGTGAATTCCAGGCAGTAAGACTCTGCCTTGATGATGCTTTGATGCAGTGGGGAAAGAGGGACTGTGCTTTGTCTTGTAGTAATTCACAACCTCAAGTGGGAAATAATAAATTCAACATGAAAATGGTATCAGCACATAACTTGCAAGTTTGACTTCTGCGGGGGCACTTTGGTTGCTCTGGTTTGAAATCCACTGCTGTTCTGTAGAACCCTGGCCCTAGGTTCTACTCTGATGCTTCGTTTTCACTGTCATAGACAGAGGCTTCATTCTGAAGCTCCAGAATAAGTTTTTGAAGTCGAGTGAGAATGCACAGGGACATCAGATGTTATTGAAAAGGAGGACGTGGGCATTCAGCTTTAAAGTATACAGCTGCTTAATTGCGTGAGTGGTACCTTCGCAGCATGAGCAAGTTAAGCAACACTTGTGTGTATTGTTTTCCAGGAACTCATTCCTTAAGTGTTATATTTTCCTTCCTATAATGTAGACTGCAAAGAAGAGTTACTAAGCTAGTCACACCAGTTTTCTAGTTTATTCAGGAAGATGTTTATTCCCCTACCTGGACATTATTCACTGAGAAACAGCCTTTCTCAGTAACCCTTGGGGTTTACACCCAATGGGAAGCACAAGACCCAGAAAGATATGACATTCCTGCTTTATTGTTTGGTCCAGTACATCTTTTGCCATCAATAGTTATTCTTTACTTGCAAAAATGAAATAAGAATCTTAGCAAGTCGAATTTGTCCTTTTATGTACAATATCACTGAATTAATTTCATATCTATAATAGTACTTTGATAAAAATGAGTCACAATATTATTTAATTCCAAAGCATTTTTCCAGTTATAAACAAATTGGAAATTATGTCCCAAAGTTTAGTAACTAATATTAAAGTTAAGGAATAAAACACTCAATTTTATGTGTTGTTTTGTTTTTGTCCTTGTTTTCGTTATTTTGTTTTTGTTCTTTTCTCTTTATTGTTTTAATTTTTTTTTTTTTCTGGTACCGGGAATCGAACTCACAACTTTGCGCTTGCCAGGTACACGCTGTGCCACTGAGCTAAATCCCCAGCCCCCATTTTCTCTTTAAAATAAAAAAAATTATAAATCATTAACACTTCATTTATAACAGTGTTAAGTAATCATGGGTTAAAAATTACAAGTAGAATATTGGTGAATTAAGTGTAGAAAAAGTTGTAGAAGTCAGACAAAACTGGGCAGCATTTTGCCTAAGACCTTTAACTTTGATATTAACCTCTGTTTGTCCAGAGGTGCTAAAGTCCTTGTCCTCTTTCTCAGACTATTGAAAATGATGGTTTCTCAAGGAAAGCATCCAGTATTCCTGTATCTCCTTTAGATTAGTCAGAGACTTTTGATACCTAGTTAGGCAAGGTCAATGCCCTCCTCAACCTGAAGGCACCACAATAAGAAGATAGACCCATGGCCCTCCTCCATATCTCAGGAATCAAAGAAGAAGAAATAATAATAATCAAAGAAGAAATAAACATAAGTAACAAGGAGATAAAAGACAGTCACAGTTTTCAAATTGTACTTTTAAGAAGACTACAAGGACACACAGTGACCCAACATTATCTGTATCTGTACTCTCTTGGCTTGTTTATGCTTCTTTTCTTCAGATCCATCACACTAATATCTCTTGAAGGTTCTTTATATCCACAAATTAGCTTAGGTGATTAGGTAAAAGGCATAAATCTGACCTTGAGAGAAACAGGTTCAAAGATTTTAAAGAAAGTTTTTGGACAAAACACCTTAGATCACTCATATTTTTTAAGACTACCAAAAAAAGGGCCCATGCCTTTCTTGCATAAAATGGGCTGTCATTTTACCTGTAAAATGAGCCATTATCTTCCTACTTGTGGCTGGACCATCATTTTTCTTCTGTAAACCAAACCCAAACTTTCTGTGGATTCACAAATTCCACAGATTTCCACTGCTAAAACCACATGAATATTCCCAGCTCTAGACTATAATGTGCTGCCTGTAGGGTCCACACTCTATTCTTTGAGTGTGTGTTTTTAAAATTCTGCCTAATAAATCCTGTTACACTTCCTAAAAATCATTATATACTCTCATGAAAATGTTTTAAAACATGACTATTATAATGACTCCTACATATTGCCAACTTTTTCTTTATAATTTTTAACTTTGCCTTTACTTTTCAGAAAGTTTTTGTTTTTGTTTTTGTTTTGGTATTGGGAATTGAACTTAGGGCCTGACGCTTGCCAGGCAAGTGCTGTATCACTGAGCTAAATCCCCAGCCCTTTCAGGAGTACTTTGAGCTCACCACCTGTTTAAGTATTTGCTTCATAACACCTGTGATCTTGAAAAAGAATTATCTCAGTTTCTATTAGTCCTATCTTCACTACCTACACACATGTCAGATTTATTTTATGAGTAAATATGTTCTGTAGCCTGTCTGTCTGTCTTTCTGTCTCTCTGTTTGTCTCTGTCTCTTCTCTGACTCTGTCTCTCTGTGTGTCTCTCTCTTGCTCCTTGTAGTTCCAAGTTGCTATTTCATTGATCTCTACCCCAGTTAAAAGGGTAAGGCTAAAATTTCCTTTTGTATACATATCAAGATATGGGAAAAACCTCTGAAGTAAAAATTAAGAACAATAACGTTGTTTCTTTACTAGTAAATTGTAAGCTTGCATGCAATGGCAATTTCTAGTTGAGAATCTATATTTTTTAGGCAGAAAAGTAAATAAAATACAAATTAGGAAATATGTTTTAAGTGTTATGTGTCTAAGACCTAATGGCAAGAAAAATCTAAGAGACAAAAAGAAATCATGAGCAGTCTATATTCATCTTCTGTCCCTGGGACGAATGAGGTTAGCGTGTAGGTGAGGCACAAAGCAGAGAAGAGCCTGCGTGAACACTTGACTCTAGAGAACAGAAAAGCGAGGGAGAAAGTAGCCAAATTATGAAACCAGGGCGAGTTTCCAAGGAAGAGAAAAGGAAAGAGCACAATTGTGTGGGGTAAAAATGAGAGAAGTTAAAGCCTGAAAGGAGATGTGTCTGCAAAAAGACTTGCAATTACACAAGGCAAAAGAGAAGGACCAAGGAAATGTTCTCCGTAATAACTGGGAAGACAAAGTTGTTAGAGGACTGTGAAAAGACAGAGGCCTTTAATGTGCCCTTTCACTCATTCTGCTTTCAGAAACTGAAAGTTGCTACCGGTTGGGATAGGCTACTATTTGACTTTGGAACACTAACTACAATAAGGCAAACAAATAATTGTGGTATATTTTTTTCCAAAATCTAGGCCTACTAAATTTGCAGCTCTACAGTTCTTAGGATTTCATAGATATGATTAGAGAATTCTCAGTCTTCCGTGACATCCTCTGGGGTATTCTGTTCTGAAGCCCAGAAACAGTGCATGTCTTAGTATTGACAGAATAGTATGTAGGGGTATTCATAGTAATGTATATTGTATAATATTTACATAAAAATTCATAACAGAAAAGATGTAACTTTGATGGAATGGATAGATTCATTTTAATTCTTACAGAGATGTTAAAAATCTAAATATTTGGAATATACTAGCTCCCAAATTATAAATACAAACATAGTTAAGATGTCTGGAAACATTACTACATTACAGAAGATTTAGTGTCCTTCATTAAATAATGTAGTGCCAAGCTGAGAAATTAAACAAACTGATATTCAGAGACAGTCAATATCACACACAATATACATTCACTCATGAATAAAATAGGCATGTAGCCAGACTGATTAAAAAGTATACTTTAGAGAAGTTAAAAAATACTTTTCTGATATTTATTTGATTATTTGATGTTTCTCTATTTTTCCTGCTCTTTTTTTTTTCTGATACTAGTCTTTTCCAAGGAAGGTTTGTTTTATTTTGCATTACAATAGAGAATAACTGTCTAATTTTATTCTATTAGTCATCCAGACGTTCAACATTCTCTAGCAAGGACAAGAGCTCAATAATAATGTATATAAACCTTTAGTTTATGCCTCCATAATCAGGTCCTTCCACCATATGGCTTTCATAGCAGTTTCAAATTCTTGATGAATTTTGGTGTTTGGTATTTGGGAAAGATTTCTCAGTATTAGGAGGGATTTTAGGCCATTATCAAAATTTAACTCATTTTGTATTTTTCATAGAACTTATGTGTATGTTTTAAAATAATAATGGAAAATCATTATAACAAAAGTGAGGAATGTTCCGTGATAAGATCTTCCCTCTGGGCACATCTGGCTTGTTTATACCACCACTTCCTCCCCCCTTCCCCGTCCATCCCCCCTCCTCTTCCTTCGTGCCCTTCTTCCCTCCTTCTCCTCCCCCTCCTCTTCCTCCTCTTCCTTTTTCTTCTTCCCCAGCTTTTGAGACAGGGCCTTCCTGTACTGTTTGGGCTGGCCTGGAACTAGTGATTTCCCTGCCTCACTTTCCCTGGATCACAATATGTGTGTCATCTCAATATTTCCTCTTTTTATAATGAAACCAGTCATTTGAATTTCGATCTTAATGACATAATTAACTTGATTACCCCTGTAAAGATCCTATCTCTCACCATGATCACATTTTGTGATCACATTCTATGAAATTAAGACTTCAATTTTAGGGGACCTAAGTCCTTCCATAATACCACTGATTTCAGGTCAAGAGGAAGAGCCAAAAATGCTGATATATGGAGTTCCCTTCTAGTAATGGTTCTACTATCAAATGTATAAAAAGAAATCATTCTTCTTAAAAGATGGCATCACACCACATAGACACACAATAAACACTCATGCATTTATTACTATGATGCTTTTGTTACAGAAAACATTGGTCACTTTTAGTATGATCTTCTGCAATATTTCTTCATGTCATTTCTCAAGTCTTTCATGAGATCCACAAGGTCCAAGCCCGGGTCATCTCATCCACTCCATCTCCTGTTTGGTCTCCGTCAGCCCATAGTGCAGTGGCCACATGGGTTTCCTTACTGGACTGTTTCCTGGTTTGCGGTTGCTTTGCTGTCCCCCTGTCCAGAGCAGTCTCTGAGACATCTCTATGATACATCACAGTCATTTAAGAAATATTTTTTGAATGAATAGGATTAAATTAAAAAGATTTACATGAGGAAACAATTAAAACTCTTTAGTTTCACATTCAAATAATGCCCCCACTTCATCTATACAGTCTCCTTGGGTACAAATAATATCTAGAAATTGCTTCCACTACAGCGTGTTCCCTGGCAAGGTCAATAAGAAATAGTTAATGACTTGTGGCATCAGATGAGGACAAGAGATACAATACAACCAATTCATTTTAACTTGTATAAACTACTTTGCAACCACTGTTCTCTCCAGGACAGCCCCTCCCTGTGTGGCCAGTTGTAAATGTAGCAAATGAAAATAGGCAGAGCTTTGTTCTGGGGAAGGATCCTTCTTTATTATGTCATCGTATTCTTTATGTCTTTTTGGTGTGAATTTAGGAATTTCAAAAGCAAATCCCCACATACATCTCTTCTTTTATTATTTTACATAAATAGAATCTCAGTTTTAAGTGTGGTGTTTGGAGTGTTGGATGGGGAAGCCTACATTTCACATCGTATCTTGCAAATGGCTATAGCTATAGCCACAAGACTGGTTCCAGTCAAGGGAATGTTAGTGTAAAACAGCAGCTCAGAAACAACCAGCGCATACCCTTTGCTGCCTTTTTCTCATGCCCCCCACCCACTTTCCACCCAGCTGTCTGGAATGCAGAGAGAATGGCTAGAACCTTAGTTGTGAATATGAACCCTGAGAAACGTCCCTTCCTGGGAAGTAATGAATGAGCTCGAAAGGGTTTAAATTCCCAAGAGCTTGGGGAATCAGGAGCATTACAGCATCGACACTTAACTTCTGTCTTTCTGTACGAAAGAAACCTCCCACTTATTTGTCACTGTTATTTTAGCACTTACACACCATCAAAAGCAATTCTACTTCAGACATCACAGAAACCATTTAGTGCCTGGGACTTTAAAGCCAAAACGAGTTATTGTTGAATCATTTAAAAGAATCAGAACAACAAAAACTATCTGCAATAATAATCAAAGGTCTTTATTTTCTATATTTAGTTCTTACAATCATTTTGGAAAAATAGTTGTGTCTCCAAACCTACTTTCACTAAAAGAAGCTGATATGACTAAATATTATTCAGAAGGATTATGGAAAAATATTTATTCCTGGAAAACAAACATTCCATTCCATTTATATTTTGCACATACTTTACACAAACCCAGTCAGAAGTGCAGGTCAAACCTCTTAACTAAAACACTAAGTCAGAATAAAGCCTTTGGTGAGTAGAGATCCAAATTTGAGAGTTTTAAAAAATCCCATTAGAATTAAAGTTGTCTATGAATGTGAAAACAGAATATTCTGAAGATCTGTTTTGAGAATGTCTATCATAGTTGTTGATATTCTCTTAGATATTCTGAGATTTAGTTAACACAGCATTCTAACTGCTCATCATCCAAATGTAGACACCCTGCTTATCTGCTCTTCTGAATAGTGATCTACACTATATAAATAAACCCATCGATTTACCTCTGTTACTACCCTTCCAGAAAACCTCATATAAATGGAATTATCCTATTGTCTACTTATCATTAAACATATTTTTGTTAGAAAGAATATATATCATCTGAAATTACAGACCTCTTATAAGCTAAAAACAAATTTCAGAACTTTCTAATAATATTTACAATGTAAACATCACAATTATTACATTAGAATAAAATAAACCACAACATTCACAACACAGTATAATTTATTTGGTTTTGCTATTGAAGTTGTTTTCTTGAATTAGTTATGCAGAACTCAAAATGTAATTACTTTATCATTTGTCTTCAAGAATTCTGAAAAAGAAAGAATTAGTGCTTTAAGCAAACATTTTTATTTACTGGATTATAATCTCATTCTTTCAGCCACTCATTTAATAAACATGTATTTTCCTTTTCCCTTGTCCAGAGCTTATGGCAAACAATTATATTCTGGCACAATCAAGAGAGAATCTTCCAGAACACTGATTGTCACAAAAAAGTTGAAATGTAAAGGGCACTATAATTAGTCATTAATAATTATATATTCGTACTTTTCACAAATGGCTAACCCACAGGATCTCCTGTTTAGAGAACTTATCCAAAGCCACACTTCTATAAAGAATATAGGATGGGATTTTATATGATCTTGAGATTTATTAAAGATAGAGGATTAGTCCATCTTTATGTTTTAGTGTCCATCATATTTTTTTATCTTGATGAAGAAGGCTTTGTCTTAGAGCTTTGCAAGAAGCTAGATATGATTAGCTTTCATCTTTGAGCAAAGAACTTGTTTCTCTCAAATGTCTACACATAATAAGGTATTACTGTGGGCAGTTCCTGACTATATACTTCCTTATAAGGGGGTAATCTCATCAGGGGACAAAGCTAATCAGACAAGCAAGTGTCTTTCAGATACTTTATGCACTCTTACTGACTCTCTTGAGAACTTTACATGGCCACACCAGGAACTGCCATGATGCTGTGTATTGCTATTAGCCTGCTTTTCCTTGACCTTGTCAGGAGTTGAAATCCTGTCCAAGTTCAGCTTTTACAAATAAGATGTTGAAACACAAAAGCTTTTGTTCATTTTACACATTTTCTGTGACTGTGTTCATGCTAAAATAGCAGGGTTAAATACTTATATCAGAAACTAGACAGGCCACAAAGCCAAAAACATTTCTTTTAAAGCCCTTTAGGGATAAATTTGCTGATATTTTGTGTGTTAATGACATGAAATTTCTTTAAACATTTGCTAAATATTATAAAGATTTGAATAAATCAATGTAAACATTTAATTCAGGAAAAAAATATGCTTTGCTGCCATATTTACTATAGTGCCCACATTCAATTCACAGGTCAAACCTTGAATTTTGCTGCATGAAACTTGCTATATTTCAAAGAACACAATTAAACTCAGAGTGCCCTGGTGTTGTCCAAACCATGCTATCATTTGGTGATATTTCCCTATACCTAAATTAAATGAGTCAGTGGACAACTGCAGGACTAAATCACAAATTAATAAAGGAAGCATGGTTTAATTCTCAATAATAAAGCCAGCTTTCCTCCTGAGTGTGAGTCAGGCCGTTCTGTTTTTTTGTCTTGCAACATAGGTGGGAATAAGGCTGAATAAGCTAGGAACGCCACTCACATCCCCAATGGTGTGCTCTTTGTGAGCAGTCTCTTTATTGTGAACAGAATATTGCATGAATCATTTTCAACTGTTTACTAGGTTGGGGTACACTTAAGGAAGAGGTGCTCTGAGATGAAGTCTCATGATAAAGGAAATTACTCAGCCCTAAGATGTTTTGTGCCCAGTGACTCTTCCTTATATATGTAATTAGACAACGGTTATAAGAAGACATGGAGCATGCACAAGCATACTCACCACTTGTCATCAGCTTTGCTCCAAAGATCTTTATAAAATCATTTTTCCAGCTCTTCAGGAAAGCCAGGAGAGTCTCCCTCAATGCTGCAGATCAGAAAGAGCAAGTTGTTCATGTGAAGGCTCTTAGATGAGAACGGTTCCGAAGAAATGATTATGACATAACGAGTAGGCACTGCCCTGAGACTTAACAATCACCTTTGAGGTTAGTTATTACTTATGAATTGCTTCTCAATCTTAGAGTGGCTAAAATTATTCTTGCAGACTTATAATTAGTGAGAAAGGAGAGTAAGTTTTTCTGATTTCACTCAAACAAAACTATACTTAATACGCAGCATGTACAGAAAAATAACTGGAATTTTAAAAAGAAAGCATTTCACTCTTTCTCTATCTGGTCCAATATTTACACACTTTAGAGAGAGAGGGTTTTATAGAACTTCAGTAAAAAGCCATGAGCAAAATGACTCAAGGATAAATTTGATGCAGTAAGGATGTTGAACATCCATCCACATGAAGGAAATTCCATGTATTATCAAATTTCTCACTGTACTTTACATGTGTCAACACTTTTGATGAAAGCTGTTCCCGGATTCAGACTAGCTATAATTTTTAACTGGGGTGACATGGTAGATTTAACTGGAGAGACATTTTAAAATGAAAAATAAATTGAAAACCAGTGTTGAGGTTTTCACCCCCAGAGTCACTGATTCCTGGTCATTGGTTTTAGGTAAGGCCCAGACACTAGCATCTAAAAAAGTCTACAGGGAGGTTTAAAGTCAGCCCAGGTTGAAAATGACTGCTTCCCAGCGTACAGGTAGTAAGATGAACAGGTATGTCCATATGTAGTTTAAATTTTGAAAGTCATTTACAATTTCTCACTTATTTAAGGATATTTTACATTTATTATTGTGCACACCTCCCTCCCTGCACTACAATCTAAGCTGAGTAATCTATGGCCAGCTGGCATCAATTCTCCGAAGTGTGAGAGGGGAACACTGTAGTGTGACCCTCTCTGACAGAAGACATACTGGGTGATCTGTCTGCTTCTGTTCCCGTGGGTAACATAACTAGCAGGGCTGTTTGGCTAAGGGTAGGGCAGGAGTGCTCCCTGCCTCAGTCAGAATCCATTGTGAACAGCTAGATGTCCTGTGGGCTCCAGGAGAGGCCAACTACTGAGTTGTAGACCAGAGACCAGACAAGTGGGATGAAAAACTCCTCGGGCTGCTCCTCTTCTACATATTTGAATTTCAATTCTGAAAATTTCTTTCAATTTCTCATTTAAAAAGAATTTTTACCTCCTTTTCCCATGCCTCATTGAGTTCAAGTACTTCTTCACAGCCATTTGTTTCCTAAGGCGGGTGTAGTTGTCGGTGAAGACGGCATCCGTGTGGCGTTTGACCAGTGCAGGGTATGCTGAGATGCTACGGCTACTGAATGTAAGGAAAGGAAATCAAAGAGTTTAGCAAGAAGTGGTAAATGCACCAATGTCCCAAATCATTTGATACTGAGATTTATGCAATTTGAGGTGTAGATTTGTAAATGATTGGTACTTAGGAAAATTACATGTGTCTGAAATCAATGAATATATTATTAAAAAGGCAGATTTCCTTAACCCATGGACATTGTTTTACTCAAGAATATTCATTTTTATTTAGCTGAATTAAACGGTATCAAAGAGTTGTCAATTTTGAACAAGTTAGTAACAATAGCGAAATATAACTTATAGATTGAGTAATGATATGTTTAATAAAAATTATAAATTCTTTTTACCTAAGTCGTTTTCCAATCACAGACTCAAGGTATTTTTTGGCAGATAGTTGCCTCAACAGCCTAGTAAAGTCATTGGTAAACAGTGAATCAACATGTCTGGAATTTCTAAAAGAAGTAAGAAAATATTTTGTAAATGGTTTTCTGGAATGTCATTCTAGCTCATTAAGAAAAACAGAGATGTATCACCTTATTATGAAAACTACTCATTAATTAAGTCCAAAACAAAGATTCTTAACACCCCAATAAAAGATATTTTCTAGTAATTAGTATAAAGATTTTTCTTTGTCTCCAGCCCAAGGCTGGAAAATTTAGAAAATGAGCAGTTTTAGAAGTATATTTTGACATTATTATTCCCTGAATATTTCATCATTATTATGTTGTGAATGTTTTAAATGGATTTTTGTAAGAAACATCGCTGCACAATTATAGTATGTTTCAATTAGTTTCTACATGTTATTTTGCTTTTCTTTCTGCTTGCCTAGATAAAGATATATGCCATGGGACAATATGCCGATTTGGGGAAAATCACAAGCATACTACACTTTTGTTATTTCTTTCACCAGAATACTGAAGACAAAATCTCTTGAGATAAAAAGGATCTTAGGATCTATTAACTTTTTCCATGCAAGTCAGAAACTTTATTCTTTGTCTTCAGTATGGAGCTATTTGGTGTATAGTGAAAAGTTACTTCACAGGAGCAGTTCTATGAATGAACAGTTCTAACGGAGTCTGTTTTTTCTAAACATAAAGATGAAACTCTTTCCATAGGACCTCTTCCATTAGGAAACCTGAAATGCAATCATTTTACCAAGATCCACCCAATCTATGATGTTGAGATTATGTACAAGAGAACGTATGTGAATGACATACAGCCATCCCAATTTTTTGCAGTCTGGTACATGAAAATCATATTCAGCTGCTAAAGCTACTTTAAATCATGTTGAATGAAGCCAAGATACATGGAGAACTGTAGTGTTATATAGTGGTAGCTTCATGGTGAGAAAAAACTGGAACATTTCTAAAAGATATTTCTAACTATAATAAAACAATATAAATAAACTCACCTGGATACATCAGAATAGGGTGTGCCATTTTCAGCTAATGCACTTTGCAAGATGTCAGAGTCTGTATTTAATGAAACTTGATCACTTTCATTTGCTCCTTCATATGGTACCCTGTCATCCATCCTACTAGGGAAAAGCGTGTTAGAAGTATGATACATTCCTTTTGTAGAACATAAGATTCTTGGTTTGTCAACCAAGAATTATTTCTTTGAAATAAGATACTCAAATCTTTAAAAAAAATCACCCATTCACCATATAAAATAGGACAACTTGTATTAATGGCTTCTATGATTTATGAGAGTACAAATAGAAAATTCATTATTACTATCCCATAAGATAGAGGCCACTCAACTTCTATAAAGCAGCTATAGCAAACAGAAGTGCTAAATAATTCAGTCCTATGAGAACATTAAGGAATATACACTTCTTTGGTGTAATTCACTAAATGAAGAATACCTTCACTTTGCAACATCATGTACAATAGGTAGAAAGACATACAAAATAGAAACAAGCTATATTCAGTGTTAAAACTGACAGCAATTTATGTATGTTATTTACTATAATTTTTCCCAAATATCTTTCAAGATTTTAGTATTTTCTGCTTTTGGCTCTGCCGGTCCCTAACCACTGCTATAAAGCTTTTCCTTGGTGTGATCTTTTTCTCTGCATTGAACAAATCTGAAGAATCTCTTCATTTATTAATTTTCCCTCAGATTCCATGAATTTTTTGAGGTCTTCTGGCTTCTGATCTTATATACTAACACAACTTTACTAAGGGATATCTTGACTATACATGAAATTTGAGTGTATCTGTGGATGCATGAACATTTTTAACAGCACACTATTAGCAGTGTGTGTGTGTGTGTGTGTGTGTGTGTGTGTGTATGTTTACAATTAGTTCAAACCTTCAAAGAGGTTTGAGGTCCTGGAAACTTCTGTATATCGCTTTTGATGATTTGGCAGTTGGTAATCAGTAACAAGTAGTCCTCTGTGGATCTGAAGGCTAGAAACCAATGTAAATTTGAGCAATCTTGTGACTGCTTAACTGTCGTGACATAATATTCAGATATTGTGTTCTTTTTTAATTGTCAAAGTAACATGATTTGGCTTTGAACAAATTTCACAGAGAGCACTAACATCTGAGAGGGCATTCATTGTCTTAACCATAAGTATACCTGAAGCAAGGAATCAGGAATTGGCAAAAAAATAATTATTATTTTGACTTCAGGTATAATAGTACATATAATCTGGAAGAAGAAATCAAGCTAGTATAGTTTTCTTTACTGTTTGCTTGTTTAACAGAAACTTATTTTATGTCAAGTAAATGTTTAAATATGAGTTGTGGTATGTTTTATAAACTTGAAATATGGACTACTATATATCCAAGGATTTTTAGTTCAAACCAAGTACATTATGGGGGACTATATCTCAATAGCTCAATTTTCCCACAATTTTTAATACTGGTAGAGTATTAAATATACAGGTAGAGTGATTCTGCTGAGATTTCTGTCCAATATAATTTTATGAATATTTCCCTAATAAACTACTCATTTTACAATGACATACTGATTGATCTTTGAGAATGAAATTGAATGCTACTAAACAACTATTTTCCTACCAGAATTCAGATGAGAGTTCATAAAAGTTTATACTTACCTAACTCTGGTTTTGAACACAAGCCACATCTTCCTTTTTCTACTGATAAGGTCTACAAGTAAAACTAACCACTGATAATGTCTCGTATGCCCTGACTGTGAATTCTAGGACTTGGACTATGATGTTGGAAAATAATTTGCTCAATGCATCAAAATATTTAAAGGATCAGTAGTTTAAAATATTCCACTGTCAAAAAACAATATAGGAAACTCAAGCTTAGATAATGAAAAAATATTCAGTTGTCCAGTTGAGACTGAACTTATCTCAGAGAGAAGCTTACCCCAAAGCAGACAGTGGTCCGAAAAGAGGCCAGGTCATTGCTTGGGAGAAGAGCACACTAAGAAGCATCACGACTGCAAGGAGCTGGGGCTTGCTTCTGGCTTCCATCTCAGGCTCTAGAGATAGATAATCCCATCAGCTTTTCCAATCATTGGTCAGTGGCAAGGGAATTCTGAGAGACTAGCAGTGTTTCTGAATGCTTACTGAGGGTAGGAAAAAGTAATTTTTATTTCAAGCTAAAGAATTAAACTGCAATATGATTACTTTTTAAATCAAGCAGATTTCCCTTGGTGAGAAGTATTTGAGAAAATTAAGATCCTTTATATGTGATATCTGTCTCTTACCAGGCACTTCATTTGCCCAAGTAGATATTAAATACCCCACTATCGTGCTGCTAATAAATCTAGGAAAAACTTTTTCATAATAGGATTGTAGCAGCTACATTTAGCATCTATTGTGATAAAGGAAATAACTTCAAGAAATTTTTTTCCTACTTTAAACTTTCAGTATCTGATTATATATATATATGTATATATATATATATGGCCTATATATTTATCATCATAAAACATTCTGCATATACATGTCTGTTCCCTCTCTTCATTGTGGTTATTTATGAGAACTTATTTTCTTTTAAGCCTGGGTTTAAACAACTTAATTTTCAAAAGAAAATTAACACCCCAAAGTCAATGAACAGCATATCATTATTGAAACAGATTTTGTTATAAAAAGAAAGATATATACTAAAAGCTTTTGTTTATTCATTTGATCCACTTACACATTCCATTTCTAAAGAGTTTATAGATGAAAAGTTAGGTCTTCAAGGTCTGTTTCTCTTGCTGCTTATACACATCACAGAATTTAAATTTAAAATTAAGAGGAAAATAAATTCTTTCTAGGCTCATTTAATCAATATGGGAGGTAGAAAAACTTTAAAAATAACTGGAAAACTTCAAAAACAAAGGTAGCAACTGAACTTTTCAGACAAAAATCTATATGCAAGCAAACAAAACCTACTCAAATGCATTTTTTATTTAAAAATTCAGTACTTAACAAGGGAGCAAGCAGGACAAAGCATCTTTCAAGGAAAAGGATTCAGAAAATCTATTCATACAAGAGAAACTGCGATCTTTCTACTCTTACTAGGTGATTTGAGAAAGTTGTCTTTTTACCGTTGCAGAGAAAAAGCACTGTGAGATATTTTTCAAGTGAGAGAAATATTCAATATAGCTCTGCAAAAAGTTCCAAGAACAGGAAGAAAAAAGAAAGGTAAAGTTTTCACTTGCCTTGGGGATGGTGCACCTCCGGAACCTGTCTTCTGGAGGGTGTTGGAGCTGTCTCGGGTGCTGAAGTTCTGGAGGCCAGAGAGGCCCTACCGCTTCTCTGCCCCTAGCACTGGCTAAGGCTGTGTTGCCGCCAGCTACTGCTCTGCCCTGTACCCTGCCCAGCATTGCTAAGTCCGTCATTTTATAGGGCTTGCACTTAGGGCTGAGCAATCACAAAGCCCTCTGAAAGACGTCACAGGGGATGAATAGGGCTTGAAGTTCTTATTAAATTGTCATTATGTGTGATACACATAAATTTATAGTGAGTAACTTCAAAATGTAACATAAAAAAGAGGATATTTACTTTTTTAAAACAAAAGAGATGAAGCTTACAGTAAAATGTTTTAATCTTTTATTAGTTGCAGTGAATTAAAAGAATGATTACAGTCCTCCAGCCAGGACCACTGGGGTTCCATAAAAAAAAATATGGACTTTATGGAGAAGCAAGTGCAAAAAGCAAAAAAAAAAACTTATGTTCATTATGTTTATGAATGTATAATTGTTCTTTATTACAAAACATCAATTCTCCTAATGACTTTTTATTTTTATGGTATTCATGTGGATCCTGATTTAGCCTTTCTTGATATGTATCCTAATTTTGAAAGTAAGCAGAAGTAATTTTTTTACCTTTCTGTCATTACTCTTTATGTTTCAGAATAAAAGTTTTAACAAATCTCTTAAGACAGTATAATGGGCACAATACCATAACAGTATCACTGTACCACATTTTGTATAAAATGTTGTAGTTTTCAATATATTTTCACATACACTCTATCAAATAATTAAAAAGAAATTATCACACTGTATATCTCAGGAGACTGAATTTTTCTTCCCTTATAAAACTACTGGCATTATGTAGAATTATATTGTTTCCTCCCCTAACTTCCAACACACACAAACCAACACCAGTTTTTGAATGTTTCTGACTTAATCACCTTACAAATTGTTTAGAGAATTCATTGGAAAGCATTTATAGAGTATTCGGATAACTAATGTCTACTTGTGGTCTTCTAAATCAAAGTTGCCTAGCATACATTCATTTAAGGGCTAAGGTCAAAATATAGCTACATAAAGTATCTTCAGAAAACAAAATAAAATGCTTTTTTATTTTAAAAAAAATTAATGTGTATATTCTCTTGCATTTTTGTTTGTACATTCCTTAATGGAAAATGGCTCTGAAGCCCTCTTTCTTTTTTCTTTGCGATTTTCATATCTATTTGCTGCATTCAAAGTTAGGTTGATCCAGTAAAAGAATATCTTGCTATGCTTAATCATATTTTCTAATCCAGTTACAAGAAAAATTAAATGAATTAAATTTCAAAATGTCTGGAAATTTGTTTCCCAGTTGACAGCTCTGACTTAAGCCAGAGTTCCTGTGGCTTAATTCCAGGAAATCTTTTTTTAACTGATTATTATAAACTAGAGGTTGAAATTGTTCTCATATGGAATTTTTTTAACCTCAGTTCTTCGTCACCCAATTCTTAGTGAAGTAATTTTATTCAAGGCCAGAAACAGCAAAAGTAAATGGATTAAGGATCACAGACAAATAAATATTGAATGATAAGTAGAAAAGAAGATATAAGATTTGATTATTATTTGGCCAAGCAAGTACTTCCATTCAAGAAGAGTAACTGTTATGGATTTGTCCAGAGTAAAGACAATTTCTCCATTACAATAAACACAAAAGTAAAGGGAAATAATTCAATTTTCTTACCTCTGAACAAAATAAACTAAATCAGAAACTCCATTCTTTTCTTAAGAGTTTAAATGAGAAGGAAAACCACTGCAAAGAGGGATTATAGCACCACCTGCAGGTTCAAACTGTTAATTCACAGATTTACAAAAACGTGTTGCTCTTTTCTTTTTTCTTTCTTTCTTTTTTTCAAGAAAATAGAATGTGAACTAGAGAACCTTTACATAGTCTATGGGTTCTTCCAGAAAAATAATCATAAGAAAAAGGGTTGTATGAGTTTATTCTGAATGCACGCTATCATAAAACTCAGCAAATGCAGCTGTAAATTTAAAGTTAAGTCTGCTTTTCCCCTGCTTTTGATATAGCTGTAGCAAAATTTATTTTCTACTTTACAGTTTCTCAATAAAGTGATATTTATAACAAAAGGAACTCTCATTCACCATGTAGAACACATCTTCAAAATCCTTATTTTAAGGTGAGAGAGCAATGGGGTTAAAAATGATCAAGGTACGTTTAGTGCATATACCAGTTTCCCCAAACAAGCCTCACCATGCCTTGATTTTTAAAAAAATCCTTGAGAAATAAGTAAACTGATGTCCAGAAATGTAAGTTATTTTTGCAAGTATTTAGGTGATTAGCATTGCACAGAATTGGAAGCCAGGCCTTTTGATCTTGATGTAGCACTTTTTCCATTAAGAATGGTAATAATCTGCATTTGTTATAATTCACATTCCTGATAATAATAGATCAGATTGTAAGAAATAGATCATAACATATTATTCCCCTCTCCATTTTACCAACAGAAGTAAAGGCAGGACTTCAACTAAAATGGCACCTTAACTAAAATGTACTGGATGCAGAGATCAAATGGAAAGAATTTTCAAGCCCTGGTGTAAACCCAGATTCACTACATTTCCTTACTGTGACAAGCTACCACAGGGTCCTCACTTCCAGTAGGAACAATGCACCTAAACTGTAATTTTTCTGTCCCTGTACATGATGGTTCTGGCTGCCCAGTCTCCCTAATGCATCTCCTGCCCCAAGGCCTGTCCTCCCTGCCATGGTGAACCTGGGGCCGAAGGGCCAGAGAATTTGGTATCTTCTGTTTGTGAGCCCAGTATGCTCATCACACTGCTTTTATATCTGTCAAGCTAAGGGTGATGTTTAAATTTTTAAATGGTTTAGACAAATAAAAGAATATGTTATAACACATGAAAATTATATGACTTCTAAATGTCAGGGTCCTTAATGAAATTCTGCTCATCATATATGTGTGCTTTGTGGTTAGTTGTGTGCTACAGCAAAATGAATACCTGCAAAAATAAAAAAGACTGTGCACCTTGAAAATCCTGAAATATTTATTTTTAATCCTCATTAAAAATGCTTGACAGTCCCCGATCTAGAGCTTCTTCTTTGAAAGAATAATTTAAAACTTTTTGCCTTAGCTGGGAATAAGAGTGTGCATCTACAATCCCAGCCACTCAGGAAGCTGAGGCAGGAAGATATAAGGCTTCAAATCCAGGATCTGATAGACCCTTTAAAGTCTGTGTATATTTTATTATACATTAAAAGAAATTTAAAATATATATTTAAATTATATTAATTTATATGTAGTTTAAATTAAATTTAACTGTACATAATTTTACAGTTTTAAGTATATAGAGTTTTAACTTTTTCCACTTATATTGTTAGTTGATACATAAATTTTCCGTCATTGTGATGTGAGATATATATACACAATGGGTAACATTCAAATCAGGGTAAACTTACATCCTCAAACACCTGTTTCTTTATGGTGAAACTATTCAGTTTTTTCTTCCTTTCTTCTAGCTTTTATATTTTTGACAACACGGATAAAACTGGCAGTTATTTTGCTAAGTGAAAAAAGCCAGGCACAGAAAGATAAGTACTACATGACCTCACTCATATGTAGACTATAAAAAAAACTGAGTTCACAGAAGTTGAGAACAGAATGGTGGTACCAGAGGCTCGGGCTAATGAGGCATTAGAGGAGGGATGAGGAAAAAGATTGATGGTATTCCTCTATGGTCAGTGGTGAGGAAGAAGTTCTGGCATGCTATTGTACGATAAGGGGACTCCAGGTAACCATAACGTACCTGCTGTTCTGGAACATCCATTTTAGGCCCATGGGTTAAAGTCCTGGTCCCCAGCCTCCGTTGCTACTAGAAAGAGGTGAAAACTCACAGGCGAGGCCTAATGAGAAGACTTTGGTCCTTGGGGCATGCTCGCAAAGGTGACAGTGATACTTTAGCCACTCTTCTGCCCTTTTGTGTCCACACTTTAAAGTAAGAGATTTTGCTTTGCACATGCTCCTCCGTGATGTGCTAGCTTGTCATAAACCCAAACATCGGGACCAACAGACTGTGAGCTGAAACCTCCAGAACTGTGAGCCAAAATAGGCCTTTTCTTTTTATAAATTGCTTATGTAGATATTTGTTATAGTAATGGAAAGTTGAAAAACTAGCTCTGTTTATTCTTAATTATTTTAATTTGAAAATTTGAATTTATTTTCAGAATCCCCATTCTTTTGGTCATGAAAATAATGACCATATTGAAATATGAAATGAAAATAATGGTATAATAAAGTCCAACTTTTCCCTTTAAAGTTACCTAATAGAATTCATTCTGGAGTGCAGATTAAAGGATATTAGGCAGTAGGACATTTAATGATCTAAATGACTGAAAATAACCTCTTTACCTCTAGAACATAATAACCCATTCCACTTTGAAGCCTGGAAATTTACAGAAAATTCTTTACCTCAGAATTTTCTTGCTTCAAGTCAAAATACATGTAGAAAGTCATTAATGGACTAGGAGTATTGTGATGCTTTAATAGGGTGGTATTTATCAGAAAATATTGCAAAAGATTACAAAGAGAGAGAAGGTTATAAAAATCACAAAAGCATACATATCTGAGATATGGGAATTTCAAAACAGGATATTTAAAAATTTTAAAACAAAATTCATCTACTTCTTAATACTACCTGTCATATATGCACCTCCCATATCCACTCTCCAGGGCGCCAGTCTCGAACTCAACACCAGTCTCTTTTCATTATACGGGCCATGAAGGAAAGGTAGAGGTTACCAATGGAGAACATGGAAAATAACATTGTCTACTGTTCGACTTTTAACTTTAAGAAACCTGCAGTGCATGTGTTTGAATGAAAAACTGGGCAATAATATTACCTGAGTGAATCCCATTCTGTGCCACTGTAACTACCCTCCACAGACATTAGGACAAAGCCTCTAAAATGAGAAAGTAAAGAGGTTATTAGAGCTGGGAGGCATCTCTCTGCTTCCAGTTGGTGGGAGTTTATGGTTGGTATGAGGAATACAGGACAGGACCCTGCTGGATTAGACTGGAAAGTGAACAGTAGAGGCAA